CCTACAATGAAGAGTGTCCATCTCCCTGATAATCTGGTTCTGCAGGAACTAAGAATTCTGAACGTAACAAAGGTTAGAAGAGTCTTTCTGCTGTTTGCCCTCATAGTGCTTGGCCACCTGATGATGTTTAAAATCTTTGGAAGGCGGTAGAGGTGCTTATATCACAGTGTCTGAAGGAGGGAAGTCGCGTCTGCATGTTGGAAAATGCTACTGATGAAAATCACAGGCCGGAGGTTGCAGGCACTGCTTTCTGCAGGGCTTCCTAAATTAACAGATGCATGCAGATTCCACAGCATTTGACAGGAGGAGGAGGAAGGTACGTGGCCTGAGAAAGGCCAATCAGCCTCTGAATGAAAGGGTGATGTGTCTGCTGTTATGGGACACTTGCAAATTGGATGACTGAAATAAATGCTTTCGTGAAGCTGCTGTGCATAAAGTAGCAAATTCAGATCCGCAGTTTGAATCTTGTTTCCTTCTCAACTTGGAGAAAAGATAACTCTCTCTTGGAGTGGGATTCTTCCCTCTCAGATAAGGTTTAGAGAACTTGTCACACACTGTCTCCACCCTCAAGGATAATCTGAGTGAAATAATGATGCTTAAATATTTTGTTTTGTTTTTCCCTCAGCTTTTAGAAGATGATCCATGGCCACGACTGAATGCTTCTGAGCCTATTCCTCCCCTCACGCATAGCAACATGATCTCAGAAAAATATTTAGAGCTGCCAAACGAGATTGCCAAAAGCAATTCACCTTCATCAGGAGCGACCCCGAAGGATTCAGGCCCGCAGGAGGAGAAGTGCAGCAAAGCGTTGGCTTTGAGGATACACGAATCCTACAGTAATGGTTTGTCAGTCAGTCTCTCCCCTTCCAACTCCGCAAATTCAGGCACGGACCAAAAAGGCTTCAAGGTGTCTCCTAATGGCCAAACAAAAGCCCAAGATGCAGAGAGGACACCCACAGCAAACTTTAAAAGGACATTGGAAGAATCCAATTCTGGCCCAGCTATGAAGAAGCCAAGACGTGGCCTGAGTCGAAACATTAGTGTCCAACCAGAAGGCATGTCCACAACTCCCCAGCGCAAAAACTCAAACAAGCTGACCATGCGCCGCAGCCTGCGGGGCCAGAAGAAGCTCAGCAATTCCCTCTTCCACCCGCCCAGGAAAGCAGTCTGTGTTTGCTGAAGGGCATTTGTGTAAGGAAGTGTATTTTGTTCTGATTAGAATTTAAAAGTTGGTGCAGAAGTTTGAAACTCTTCCTGTTTATCTTTTTTTAAAGTAGAAACTTTTTTTGGTATCAAAACAGCTTTATCCCAGCCTTGTACTTGCTTGTATTATAACTGTGAATTTTGTAGATGTGTAGGGTATAAGTCACTGTAAAATGTGTGTAAATTTGTATTCCTTCATATAAATGTAGTCTCTTTTCTTCCTTGTATAATTGTTACAGCGGGGCTAAACCTTGTTTAAAATAAAAAAAAAAAAATCCTTTTTGTTAATTTACTAAAGTCATGAATTTGTATACGCTTCTTGTGATGAGAATTTCACAACTTTTTAACTAAAGTAAATTATTAAACAGAATGGAAGATATGTATTTTCGTAGTACTATACGTTCCACCTAAAGTGTGTCTTTTAGAGAATACACTAGGTCTATATTTTGGTTTTAAATTTTAGATTTCTCAGAAATAAAATGTACGTGGAAGCAGAGATGTTGAGTCTTGCTTTTACACAGCTCAATGTCGATTTCTTTATGTTAATTAAAATACTATGCAGTATCTTATTTAGTTGCATTTTTGGTAACATTAATCGTCAAAGTATTTAGCAAAAAAGTGTGTGTTTTAAAATTCCAACTCCCAAAAGCATCCTATGAAGCCATTCCCATCCCCTGTTATAAATGATGGCATTTCTATCCAGGCGTAAATGTATGCCCTCCGGAGGCACGAATTTTCTGCTAGTCCAATACTGATGGTGCTGCTAATAACTTTCAACATAAGTTCTTAAATTATTTTATGACTATTTTCATTGAGTATGTGGACCATGTGTATGTTCACCTAAATAAAACACGTGAAAAGTTGATGGGGGTGCCTTTTTTATTCCCAATTTTGAGATTGAGTTCTGTTGAGCACATTGATATTTATTTTGTATTCATGAAAAACCTAATACTCTCCCTCACTGGCTATGTGGCTTACAAGACATCCCACATAGTTCTATTTAACTGTAGCAATATACAGCCTGATGTGGTTTGGTTTTTTTTTTTTTTTAAATGAGGAAGCAAAGGCCAGTATTTTATTCCGATGGCTAGGGTGGTTATTTATAGAATCTAATTGTTTACTGCTGGAACAATAAAACATGGGTTGAAATCAGGCCTGCTATCTATATGTGTTACCATGGTTACAGCAGTCCTAGGGGGAATCATACGCTTTCTGAAAATGTATAATTCTCTTTCATCCATCCTGTGAGCGCTGCATTATCTGACAAGATGAAAATAACAGTCTGTCCAACTTGGATCCTTCAGGAATGTGTTTGTGTATATGAGATGGAACTTAGTTAACAACCCAGTTTTGCTATAGGTGATGTTGAAATTACACACCATAGATGGGGGAAAGTGTATAGACATTAACAGCAGCTGTATGTATTTAACTTAGCAACAATCTTTGCAATACACTAATAATTGTCTATATTTTCAATTTAACCTCATGGCATTCAATGTTTTAGAGATGACTGGTCACAGTAAGATGCAAGTGTAATGTGTTAGTTTATCTGTATTGCTGCTTAGAATGTAAATATGAAAAGGAAAAAGACTAGCGAATTTACCTTTTTTTTTTCTCCATATAGAAGCAAAATGTAAGTTTTCATCAAATTCTGCTGCATTCATAAATGTGTGCCTTGTTCTCTGCCATTTCCTCACAGCAGTTCTAGACTTGGGCTTCTCCAGCTGGAGGGGCAGACACATCAGCTCTTTTCACTTTTAATAAACCAGACAAAACCTACGGTTTTTCTTGGGAAAGCTGCAGCATGTTGGTAAGCATTCAAGATTCAAAGCTCCTCTGCACTAGACATAAACTAACCAGCAGCAGTTTACTCTTGTGTATGCTTTGCCCACCTACGTATCATTTGACTTCTCTGAAATTAATTATCAAAGCTGAGACAGGGAAGCGTGGAAATTTCCAGCCGACGTGCGAATACACTCTCCTGTTGGTAAAATCAAGTCTGACTTACACCAGGTTGTTTTTCCTTTTGAAGTAAAGCTCCAATATGTGCAAACCCAGTTCTGCATCAGCTGGATGCTGAGGGCAGTCATGGTTTGCATCACCCTGTTACACAATTCCACAAAAATTAAGCCTCTAGCACTAATTTTTTTTTTAAGCCGGAGGACAGGCCTCACGTGGGGCAACTTTACAGCTGAAAAGACCTTGTTCAAGTTTTTCTTCGGGGTGAGAGGCCCAAAGGACAGTTACTTTTTTCTGCTCCCGGGTTCTGTGTGAAGTGTGCGGTGCGTTACGCTCGTAGTTCCTTGTTTTGGTACACGTTACGATTCGTGGTTACAGAACTCGGACGAGATGCCCCGAACTGGTCGCCCCATCCTGATTTTCAGGTGCCTGCTGCCTGGAACCGGGAGCCAGAGGCCCCGGCTCGCTGCTCCGAAACCTGACCGGGTGTCCCGAGCCGCCTCTGAGGGCGGTCGCTCGGCTCCACCCAAGTGCGTCACCCTCGGGCACCCGCAAACATGGATCCGCCGCGCCCCGAGGGAAGCCTGCTCCTACCTCTCCCCGCCGGCGGCTGCA